AATGATATTGTCAGTGAAAGTTACTTTTTTTTGCATTTTTCACACACAAACAGCACTTTTACTGACGATATAATTGTTGTGATACGTTTTACTGTTTTGAAACACTAATATTTGTGTTCAGCAAAGTCTCCCGAGTATAACAGTACCCCCATGTACAGGTTTTATAGCCTTTTGAAAGTTACAGGGTCAAATATAACAGTCAAATATATTTACATTGAAAATTGGCAGGTTGGTTACCTTGCCTTTGAGAGCGTACGGTAGCCCAGGAATGAGAATTACCCCAATGATGGCATACCATTTGCAAAAGTAGACAACACAAGGTATTGCAAATGGGGTATGTCCAGTCTTTTTTAGTAGCTACTTAGTCACAAACACTGGCCAAAATTAGCGTTCAATTTAGTTTTTTACTTTTTTCACACACAAACAAATATGAACGCTAACTTTGGCCAGTGTTTGTGACTAAGTGGCTACTACAAAAAAGACTGGACATACCCCATATTGAATACCCTGGGTTGTCTACTTTAAAAAAAATATGTACATGTGGGGTGTTATTCAGAGATTTATGACAGATAATAGTGTTACAATGTCACTATTGATAAATTTTAAAAATGTATGTTTTGAAACCGCAATATCCTACTTGTACTTATAACCCTATAACTTGTAAAAAAAAAAAAGTAAAAAAGCATGTAAACACTGGGTATTTTTAAAATCAGGACAAAATTTTGTATCTATTTAGTAGTTTTTTTCATTAGCTTTTGTAGATGAGTAAAAGATTTTTCAGGTAAAAGTCAAAAAACATGTATTTTTTTTAATTTTTCATCATATTTTTTTAAAATTAAATTACATGAGATTATATAAATAATGGTATGTAAAGAAAGCCCTTTTTGTCCTGAAAAAAAACAATATATATTTTGTATGGGAACATACATGTGAATGAGAGAGCGGAAAATTACAGCTAAACACAAACACCACAAAAGTGTAAAAAGAGGCCTGGTCGTTAATGTACTACATCACAATAACAGTCCGGTCCTTAAGGGGTTAACATCGTATTAACAATCCACAGACTTCAGGTGGGAAGGGTTTTCAATCACAATTTTTGCCCACCATACGTTTTTTGTTTTTTGCTTTGCAAGGACAGCTAAGCCTCACTAGCCAGCCAGTAACAAACCTCATGCTGATGATTTGCATTAACAATGAAACAGCTGTCCATGAGTGGTTCACTGGCTTTGCATTTTTTCCTAAGTTGTGTTTCAAAGCTGTTGTATACAGCAAACACAGACTCAAAGGAATCCATGTTTAACCCCTTAGTGACCAGACCGCTTTTCAATTATCTTACCATTTGGAACCAGGGCAGTTTTTACATTTCTGCAGTGTTTGTGTTTAGCTGTAATTTTCCTCTTACTCATTTACTGTACCATTATATACTGTTTCTCTCGCCATTAAATGGTCCTTCTAAAGATACCATTATTTTCATCATATCATATAATTTACTATAAAAATGATCAAATATGATGAAAAAATTTAAATAAAACACACTTTTTAGAACTTTAAGCCCCCAAAATCTGTTCCGCATCTACAACCACCACTAAATTTAGAAATACCCAAAGTTAACATGTTCTTAGCTTTTTTTTTTTTTGCAAGTTATAGGGCAATAAGTACAAGTAACACTATGCTATTTCCAAACCATTTTTTTTTTTCAAAATTAATATAAGTTACATTGTAACACTGATATCTGTCAGGAATCCCTAAATAACCCTTCATATATATATATATATATATATATATATATATATATATATATATATATATATATATATATATATTTTAAAGAAGACAACTTAAGGTTGCTTTTCATGCCTTTTTCATGCAACCATTTTACCACCAATATATGCCCCAAAAAGATGTAAAAAAAAAATTATTGGTGATTTTTTTTGAACCACACAGCAATTTAAGACTGTCACATATGCCTCATTCCAGGATCCTATTTAGCCTTGACTTGCAGAGAGTCCCAGTAAGGGGCATGTAAATGTGTCCTGATGACAGCTGAAACATTGACTGTTCTGGATTGACTGCAAATGAATCGACTCTGCAAAGGCTAGAGTGCCGGTATCTTTTTGAACACACATATATATATATATATAATACACAAGATCCAGCGCACTCACCTATCCACTAAACAGCAACTTCAATGTTGAAAGATTTTATTAGTTTTTTTAAAAACACCTAATCTAGGAAAAAATAATGGGGGTTTAGTTACATTATATGATCATACATTGCATAAGCCTGCCACAACGTCAATGTACCCCATCTTTGGCAGGTACTACACTAACAGCCTAATGTCTGCTCTTATGAGATTAACCACTTACTTGAGGAAAAAAATTCCATCTGGGGCTCTCTGCAGTACAAGGCTAAATAGGGCCCTGGGATGAGGCACCTGTGACAGGGAGGGGTGCAAAACCAGGGAGTTGGCTAGACTCCCAAATATATATATATGAAACAAGGGGGGGTTGGCTGCACTCACCTGAACATGCATAAATGGGGGTGCTGCTGGGGCCAAATAATACAAAACACAAGATCCAGCGCACTCACCTATCCACTAAACGGCAACTTCAATGTTGAAAGATTTTATTAGTTTTTTTAAAAACACCTAATCTAGGCAAAAATAATGGGGGTTTAGTTACATTATATGATCATACATTGCATAAGCCTGCCACAACGTCATATATATATATATATATATATATATATATATATATATACACACATATACACACACACACACACTTTTATTTCCTATATATGTATAATATATTCTAATTAAAGCATTTTATAATATATTATACATATATAATGTGTATATATATGATTTCATTATAAGTGTATTTTGAGATATGTGTATATATCACAAAGTACACTTATAATGAAATCATATACATGCATTATATATGTATGATATATTATAAAATGCTTTAATTATTTTATAATATATTATACATGTATAATATATTTATTTATTTATTTTTACTTTTTAGCAGCCTGGGGGACTGCCTGACAGCTCAAACAGTCCCCCTGCTGGCAGCTCCATAGACTTCTATTGCCCTGGAGGGCCGGGGTGGCTTAAGCTGCTGCTGGAGGTACTGCTGTGGTCTCTGGATGGTCCAGGTAAGTCCAGGGCTCCTATTTGCCGCGGAGTCGCGGACGTACTAGGTACATACGCGGTCCTTAACAACCGTTTTTTGTTGGACATATCTACTACATCCGCGGTCGTTAAGGGGATATGTATTTATAACGTCATTCTAAATGTATTTTTATTTAAATATATATTTATATTCATATCAAAATACAGTTAGAACAAATTTAAACCTATATAATTTTTTATTTAATTTTTTTATTTTTTACATTTTTTTCAACTTATTTATTGATTATTTTTATTTTATATATATATATATAATGTTATTCTAAGTGTATTTTAATATTAATATATATATATATATATATAATTATAAAGATTAATATTAAAATACATTTTTAATAATGATTTATGTATGTGTATGTGCATGTAAAAGTACTAAGATCATATATATATATTTTTATTTACTTTTTAAAAAAATTTAATAATTTTTAAAACTTTTGTGCAGGCATTAGGCACTGCACAAGCCGGCTATTCCAGCCATGTGATCGAGAGGACTCAGCGATCACATGGCCCGGGAGAGTCGGATCGGCATAGCTGAGCTCCCAGGCAGTCCCCAGGATCGTGATCACCGGCGGGGGATCGCCAGCGATCAGGTAAGTGGGGATTTCCTAATGGAAGTAGCAGGTACATAAGCGGTCGTTAACGGACGTTTTATGTCGGATGTACCTGGTACGTTTATGGTCAGGAAGGAGTTAAACTCAAATGAGTCAAAAATGTGATTCTTTGTTGAACTAATTTGCATATGCCCACCCAGAATCCTTTGCAGTAGTAACATCACTGCAAATTTGTGATTCCTGTGGGAAAAGCAAGTCTTATGGCTTGACTGGTGTGCAGATTTTTGTTTAACATTGTATTAACTATATATATTTTATACTATATTATATATATATATATATATACACATACATATATATATATATACTATATAATATTCTCTATATTTCAATTTAATATTAAATATATATGGAATAAAAAAGTTCAAGGGTAAAGTTAAATTCCCTGACACATCAAAAACACAAGCACACGCATATGGTTTCACATACACACACATACATACATATTCAATAAAATTAGAACTGTCTGGAATTACAAAGTCATTTTCACATTTAAAATTAATATTGTCAAACTGGAAAAAAATTAAGTCACCTTTGCTTCCAGTTTTGACTTTTTACACACTTTTAGACACTCATGAAAGTTTAGGTGACAAACTGAAACTTTTATCTTTTAATTTTTAAAATAAAAGTTACATTTTATTTTTAATACTTTTGGAGTCCTGGGAGTGCTATATCTACGCTATTTTATATATATATATATATATATATATATATATATATATATATATATATATATATATATATATTAAAGTTAGAGTGTCTAAAAGTGTGTAAAAAGTCAAAACTGGTAGCAAAGTTTGACAATATTAATTTTAAATGTGAAAATGACTTTGTAATTCCAGACAGTTCTCATTTTATTGAATATGTATGTATGTGTGTGTGTATGTGAAACCATATGCGTGTGCTTGTGTTTTTGATGTGTCAGGGAATTTAACTTTACCCTTGAACTTTTTTATTCCAAACATATTTAATATTAAATTGAAATATAGAGAATGTTGTGCCTTGATATTGAGCAAAATATTGCCATCTTTATATTCTGGAAACAATCATAGCCTGCTCAGTGTTATGTTTCATGGCATATGATGTTTCGGAATTGTTCAAACTACTATAATTCACCATGTGTGGTCTCTCTCCCTTTATTCACATTCACAGTCACATGTGTGTGTGTATGTGTGTGTAGACCAGGATGCTTCAATAGCAGGATATTCTAATTTTTCAGGTATCACCTGTGTGTATATATATATATATATATACACACAGGTGATACTCGAAAAATTAGAATATCCTGCTATTGAAGCATCCTGGTCTTCCATAACACCTCAGCAGTGCCACAGGCTGATAGCTTCCATGCCACGCTGCATTGAGGCAGTAATTGCTGCAAAAGGGGCCCAAACCAAGTACTGAGTCCATATGCATGCTTATACTTTTCAGAGGTCCGATATTGTTCTATGTACACTCCTTGTTTTATTGATTGCATGTAATATTCTAATTTACTGAGATTGTGGATTTGGGGTTTTCATGAGCTGTAAGCCATAATCATCGCACTTATGACAAATCACGGCTTGAACTATCTTGCTTTGCATGTAATGCGTCTATCTCATATATTAGTTTCCCCTTTTACGTTGCATTACTGAAATAAATTAACTTTTGCACGATATTCTAATTTTTCGAGTATCACCTGTATATATATATATATATATATATAGAGAGAGAGAGAGAGAGAGAGAGAGAGTTTTTTTATGAATGAGATGCATTACATGTAAATAATTTAGAGATACGCACTGAAGTAATACAGTGAATTAAAATGATGAAGTTATAAATGGCAGTTTACAGCGACTAAACCTAGGTGATAAACTCTATTTCTTTTGTAATGGCGCTATGTAATATTTTGTCATCCTTTTCTTTATATTCTAGCATCTGATTAAGTTTTCTACTGAAGAAAAAGATTAATGTGACAGAAAATATATTAAAGAAATTTAGTAAATCTTAGCAAAATAGCATCCTATACTTAATAAGGACACGCATCATATTTTATGATTTTCTATTCATTGGATGGAGCTGTGGTGTTTGTAATTGTGTTTATAAAGCCATTCGTCTTGTGGAGCCATCTTTAGCCGAGAAAGCCCCAAAGCATTGTCAATTCGGCTCAGATCTGATCAGCATCTTTATAGTTTATCAGCCTTGGGGTTCAATTTTGTTTTGGATGCTTTTATAAATGAGCACAATCACTGGTGAATCTGTTCTTCCAGATTGCAAAGAGAAAAATCGAGTGAGGCGCGTTAGTAGATTACTGTGTCATAGAGGATAAACTACAGACACCAATGTACCAAGAAAACCATAGCTGTTTATTTTCTGCCTTTTTTACGTTCAGAGTTTTAAGCCACTAGAATTAGGCGACTTTCTCATCACATCACATTAGTGTCCATTCTAGCATGACCTCTCACCTATTGATTCTCATTCAATCCAAAATATTTATTGTCTACAATATTTCCTTTTTGCCCATTCTATTAATTTCAGTAACCACTTGATGTTTTTATAAAGACTCTGGTTAAAAAGAAAAACCATACCACAAGAGGTTATAACATTTCTGTATTTCATGTCTTATGAGTGGGACAGCTGATAACTGTTGGACCTCAATACATTATTAACAGTATGGCCTCAAAGGGATTCACTCCACTTCATTATTCTGTCATTAACACCATGATACACTTTTTAGAACACCTTGTTTGGTTTCCCACAGGAACAAATTTGGCCATAGATTGTTTTAGGAAATGAAGGTATTACCCTTAACTAGCAAGTTGTGTTGTGTACTGTGAGAAAGTAAGGAATATGGCCATTTCACAACTGCTGAGAGGCTCTTCCATACTAACAGTATAGAGGTTTGGACCTACTGATTTGAAAGCACAGAATAAAGCAAGAAAATGTATATCTTCTCAGGACACTTTACATAATTTGGTTCCTGTAACCGTAGCCCATTGACTCATGGGTAGCAAGATCAGCCACTGGACATAAGGGTTAAAATTTCCTTTTTCCTCAATAAGTAAATGACTACTAGTACTTCTCTAGATGATAAACCAATTGATCAAAGGGAACTGTCACATCCCAGTTTTTGTAATATAATATTTACATATACCTATATGCACTATACTTGTAAAAAATAAAACTACACACAGAAATCCACAAATCTTTATCCCGCAACTAGGTGCTTCCATTTGAGCTCTTTCTCAAACATTCTTATAAGCCCTGTCCTTTCCACTTAACTGTCATTTGCAATGTTTAACCCCTTCACGACCGATGACGATTCAGGACCATCATTGGAAAAATCCCCTTGAGGACTGGTGATGGTCCTGAACCGTCATAACGAAAATCTTTACTCACCCGGTTGCCATCATTCCCCCGGCAGCGATCGGCGTTGCTCCTGGTGTGGGAGCAATTTATATATATAATGTCACTAAGTGTATTTTTATTTTAATATATACGTATATTAGTATAAAAATACACTTATAATTAAATTACACACATATATATAATATATATAATAACAATATATATTGTATATATATTATAAAAAATACAAATAATAAGTAAATTAAAATACATTTTAAAAAGTAAAAATAATTAAAAAAAATATATATATATGAAATTTTATTCTAACTATGTTTTGATATTAATATATATATTTATATCAAAATACACTTAGAATGAAATTATATATACACATCTATGTATATATAAATAAATCAAAATATTACGAAATATATATATATATATATATATCTATATCCATATACAAAATTACATAAATAATTTCATAAATATACATGTAGACTTCAAATATATAAATATGCATATATATTTAAATTATATGTGCGTATTTATGTAATATTGATTGCAATTTGAGGGACCTGCCTGACAACCCAGGCCGAAAGTCCAGAGAATTTAATTTGCTAGCACTGTATTTAACCCTATAACTTTCTATGACACCCTAAAACCTGTACATTACTTTTTTTTGCATTTTTCACACACAAACGGCACTTTTACTGAAGATATAATTGTTGTGATACGTTTTACTGTTTTGAAACACTAATATTTGTGTTCAGCAAAGCCTCCTGAGTATAACAGTGCCCCCAATGTACAGGTTTTATAGTGTTTGTGAAAATTACAGGGTCAAATATAAGGGTCAAATATTTTTATATTGAAAATTGCCAGGTTGGTTATGTTGCCTTTGAGAGCATCTGGTAGCCCAGGAATGAGAATTACCCCCATTATGGCATACAGTGTTTGTGACTAAGTGGCTACTAAAAAAGACTGGACATACCCCATATTGAATACCCTGGGTTGTCTACTTTAAAACAATATGTACATGTGAGGTGTGATTCAGAGATTTATGACAGATAACAGTGTTACAATGTCACTATTGATACATTTTAAAAACATATATTTTGAAACAGCAATTTCCTACTTGTACTTATAGCCCTATAACGTGCAAAAAAAAGCACATAAACACTGGGTGTTTTTAAATTCAGTACAAAATTTTGAATCTATTTAGCAGTTTTTTTCATTAGCTTTCGTAGGTAAATAAAAGATTTTTCAAGTAAAAGTCAAAAAACATGTTTTTAATATACATTTAAAACAAAACACAAGTTATCTGTGATTTCAGTGTTTTCTTCAATGATGTAAACTTCAGAGAAGTGAGTTTCTTATTAAAAGATAAAGAGATAGTGAAGCACATATTGCTTATCTGTTAAAATACTAAATCATAGGAGGTTTAAGAAAGTTTTCTAAAAAGTTAATTTTTTTGGTTCAAAAATCTGTTCCAGTTTATTAAAGTGTTTTAAAAGTAGTCTGAAAAGTTTTACCTTTCTGCTTTGCAGGTTCCAACAGATGATTCACTTAAACTTTGATCCAGCCTCCCCCAATGACTTTGACTCAATAAATTATACTTTTATAACGCTGATCCTTCGTCTGCTTTGGCAGTGGTGCCATAAACGTTTAGCCAAAAGTTCAGATCCTGTAGTCTATTCTTCCATAGAATACTCTTTCCATATTTGCAAAATCAATTACAGTCATGTAAGATAACTCTGTAACATCCAATAGTTTAGCAGCTAGGAAATACGGAGGTTATCTAAAAAATATACTGAAAGGAATAAATGGAAAAATTATCACTGAAATATTCGTCTAATAAGAAATATTATCTCCTTCTACCCTCCTAAAGAACACACCTATCTCTGTCTATTCCAAACAGTCAGTCAAGGGGAAAAATATTTAGAATAGCCTTAATAAAAAAAATCATATCTGGCATTGCACTAAGTTATTTATCAAAATTGATATTTATTAACTAGTTCAACTTTGTAAAGGGCTTCATCCATCCAGAACGCAAGTGTTCCGGATGAAATCCTAGAAACTGCAATGCCATTTGCTATTCACTAAATGGTGTTGCACTTACATTGTCTACACCTGTTCCCTGGCATCTCCTGGGCCCTATTATATATTAGTCTCCACTCTACAGTCCATGGAGAGGAGAAAGAGGAAAGGCCACTCATGTGGCCTCTCCTAGTTTTTGGGAAATCCAGGGAACCCCACATTTTTTTTGTTATTTATTTGTTGGGGTATTTTTAACATGGAGAGACCTGATCGGTTTTCTCAGTTCTAACAGACATTAGTGTGTGATAATGTGCCAGATTTTGTAGCCATAATTTACATTCTTGGGCCCACCATTTCCCTAGTGGTGTTTTTCAACACCAGGGAAACAGATCTACTGACTGAGTTCAGGTACACTCAGAAAACAGCGTGGGGCACATGATAGTAAATATCACAGGTCTTTAAAATGACTTTTGAGAGTAACTGAATTCTGAAAATGCCAAAAGACTAAATGCATGGTCAGTTGGATTATAATTATATTGTCTTGGTTGCAAGAATACCAAATTTTGCATACTGACTAGGAAGACAGCCATTCCAAAGCAAACCATTCCTGCAACCTGTCTCATTGCCTCTGTTTTCTCCACATTGTTTAATAAATGCAAGAGAGGTCAGTGTCAATGGACACAGGGAATGTGTCTTCTGACTTGAACAGGTTATATATTTCTAAGTTTCAGACTTTCTTCAAGGTAATTATAAGTTTTCCATTTGTGGGAGAAAATCAAACTGCTTCCTCATACATTTAGCTTGCCTATGTTTCAACAAAGCATTAAAGACCACATTTGCTATTATGATACCTAAACGTTACAAAATTCTATTGTCTTCTGCATTAGTACCATTCATGCCCAGCACTTCCTCATACATCGAGTTCCTTTGTGACCAAATGTGTTCAAACACGACTGTCCCCAGGGCTGGTGCTATGATTTTTGGCTGCACAGGCTCAGTCACCCCCTCACAGAAAAAAAAATGATCTTCACTTGGGTGTCTCTTAATCCCGCTCTTGAACTTCTGATACCCTTTTGTGAAAGTCTTAACCCCTTTAGTGTAGCTTATCCCTTTTTAGTGCATCTTATGCCCCTATGTGTGTCTTATAATCCCCTTGTGT